TAAGTCAGCTCACTTCTCTGCACCATTCCATTATGTTCTGGGATTGTAATTTGCCCCAGTTACTGATACCAGGACAGAACAATTCCAAACATTTCCAAATGCTCTTCACAGATGAGACAGTCTCTGCATTAAGTCCTCCTTGGGCTCCAGTTAAAACTGAGGACACCAGAACCTGAACAATCCACACACCTAGTGAATCACAGAATTAAGTTGACATGCTAGTATTAATAGCACAGAATAGGTTGAGAAAATTGAATCCATTTTACTATCTTGGGACATGGAAAGTACAGTTCAGAAATGCTCTTGCTCCACTGAAGCTCAAAAGAAAATATCATCTTCATGTAAGAGCTTATGGCTTCATACACTTAAAATAAAACACAAGTGGAGTGTACTCTTTAAACTCTTTGAGACACGTGGAGGCAGACTAATATTACCTCCTCATCTCACCCCCATATTTCCTAATCCCCTCAAAACACACCTTCAGAGAGAATTGGTTCCCACCATACATGAGTTACTTGCATTCTATGGACAATTTTGATAGTAGCAGAAAGGAAGGGAGAAAGGTACTAAGGACTGACTTTCCAAGCAAACATTGGCTCATGGTGCACTGCTCCTTAGGTACCAGAGTATCCATCCTGAGGTCTAGGATTTAATAAGTACTTTTAGAGAGAAGACCAAATTGTACGCACAGAAGATAAATGGCGGGCAATTAGGTCTATACCTGATCTGTTTTCCAACATGCTAAGCTTCACTCACAACCTGTCTTCAGATTCATGTTTCTCTGTGAAAAAGCAAACCTGCTTTTCTTTAGAGAACATAGTTCATTGGGAATGAAATGGCTCTGGGTTGATACTCAGAAGTCCAGCCATAAACAAACCCAGATTATATTTGCAGGCAGCAGGAGCTTGGGTTACGAGTCCTTCCGGAGGGTATTTGTTACAACCCTGTTGAAAGTCAGCTGGGCTGGCAGAGAAGCTCTAATTTGCAAAGGAGAAAAGTGAGGGTTGTGCCAGTGGACAAGGCTCTGAGCTAGCAGGTGTTTGCAGTGATTACCAAACTCTGGCTCAAAGCCCAGCTGTGTCAAAATGACCTGGAAACACTGTTGGAAATAGAGCCTCCTGGGTTCCATACATTACAGACAAAACTATGTCACCTTCAAGATTCCTATGGCTGTAGTCCTACATCAAGTAATTTGGAATGTGATTCAATTTGGAGATAAGTCCGTTAAAGAGGTTAAGGTTAAGTGAGGTTACTCAGCTAGTATGAGAAGAGATTCTAATGAGAAGAGATCAGGACACAGACAGAAAACCATCTAAAGACAAAGAGAAGAGAGGCCTCAAAAGAAACCAACCTTACCATCTTGGGTTCTAACTTCCAGCTTATAGAGCTGGAAGGAATAAATGTCTGTTGTTTAAGCCCTGATGTCTATGATACTTTGTTACACAGCCAGAGCTGACCATACCACCCCTAGACACACTGAATCAGGTTCTCTCAATGTCAAAGACAACGTGTAACACACTATAGGCTCAGAAGAAATACAAGAGCTTCTCTCAGGCTGAGCATCATCATTACCTGCTGATTATGGCCAGGGGTCGGGCCCACCCTTGCCACAGTGGAATCTTGGTTCTTCCTCCTCTCTTTTAAGTTGACTTCTTATGAAATCATTGTCACATTCTGGTTCTTACCCCTCACTTCAGAACTGCTTCTGCCAAAGTCATCTAAAAGATGTCTGAAAGAGGTAACTTTGAGATGACACAAGAATCTAATTCCTAAAAGGAAAATGTAGAGAGAAAAGACTGTCCCTGGTCAGGATGATTGTAATGATGGACAATAGCTAAGCTATGAACAGCTGAAAGAGCTCAGGGGCTCAAGAACTGTATGTCTGGGAAAAAGAAGAGAGCAGTTGGTTGTAGCATGTTCATGATGCATTAGTCTGTTTTGTGTTGCGATGGTAGAATATCAAAGGTTGGGTAATCTGTGAAAATAGACTTACTTCGTTTATAGTTTTAGAAGTCCAAGAGTGTGGCAACAGCATCCTGGCAAGGATCTCTGTGGCTGTATCACATTGTCACAGAGAAGGATCTGGCCATGTGTGGAAGAGGGAGACCACATAGCAAGAAAGGAAACACGAGCGATTCAGAGGCTGAGCTCGGCTCTTTTCGTAACAACTTTCTTTCACCGGAACTAATTAGTATCCCAGAACTATATGAACGCTCTAGGATGATATCTATGATGTAATTACACTAGGTCCTATCTCTTTACCATCCCACTATGTCAACACTGACACACTGGTGGCCAAGCTTCCGGCCTAGGAAATATTGGGGGATAAATTCAAACCACGTTCAAACTATAGGATACAATGTACTGACATGAATGGTCCCCATCATGCCTACAGAATAGAAAGCTATGGCCATTTACCAAGCTATTATCTTGCAGGATTCCTATTCATGCTCCAATTCATAAACACAAGCAGTAGTGCTCCGGAGTTTGCGGTGTATGATCTAGTTCAGATATTTGCTTTTGACTATCAGAAGCCGTACAGGGGTCCCTCATACATGGAGTTCCTGACACAGGAGAACCCATTTATGCACAAGAAATGTTTTTGTGCCACTATCCTAACAATGATCAATTACGCAACGTGGAAGGAAATTATGAAGGTCTTGCTATCACCACCATTTAAATTATCCAATTAGTACCCAAATATCATGTTACATGATTACTTCCCCCTGCCCCTAACACTTGCAATTTTGCATTTTATTTGCTTAGAAGCAAACTTGACCAGCAATCCCTCCTATCTTGGCATAATGAAAAATGTTTCTATGACTCAACCCCATCCCAGTCATTAGTATCAAATAACCTCTTGCTTGATGCATTCCCTGATCACACACACACACACACACACACACACACACATATATATGTATATATATATATACACACACATATACACATATATGTGTGTATATATATACATATATATAATTTATTAGACATTTATCATATCAAGCATATTCCAAATCCTAGAAACATAGCAATGAATGCAGCTGACTAAACTGTTCTCATCATGCTTTATTTCTTGTAGTTAGAAAACATACAATAAGCCAGGCACTGATGGCATATAGCTATAATCCTAGCTACTCAGGAGGCTGAGATTTAAGGATCACAGCTCGAAGCCTTCCCCACGCTAGAAAGTCTGTGAGACTCATCAATCAACCACCAGAAAACTGGAAGTGGAGCTGTGGCTCAAAGTGGTAGAATACTAGTCATGAGCAAAATAGCTCTGGGAGATCCCCCAGGTCCTAAATTCAAGCTCCACAACCACCACCACCAACAAACAGAAACATGCAATAGGCTGATAAATAATTATAAGAATAATTGTAGATAAATACTATTAGAACAATGAATCAGGATTAAGAAATGGAGCAATGGTCCCTGAATTAGAGGGAATTGGTTAGGAAAGTAAATTCTCTGTCCTCACTTAAGACTTTTTTGAGTCGGAACTTCAGTGGGAGGGAGACCCAGAAATCTGATGCAAACTCAAGTTTGACAACCCCAGCGACAGTAACAAATGATGAGAGGAGTTACCTTAGAATGCATGGTTGGAAATAACTTCTCTGGTAAGATGACATCTGAGAAGAACCTGAATGTCACTTAAGCTAGGACATGTCCCAGTCTAAATTCTCCATCCATGTCACTGAAGCACCGCTAATGTCTTTGGTCTTTTATTTCCTGCTTAGCCAACACTTTCTGATGACTCCTTCCCATCAGGTTTTAAGACAGTGTGACCTGTGCAATCACCAAAGTCCCTGGGCTCAGGACTAGGCTGCAGACTTGACATAATGCTCTGTTATTGTCCTCTTGAAATTCTCAGTAACTTTACCTTTGAACCTGTGTTTTGTTTGTTTTTTTAATTTAATTTTATTTTATTTGTGAACATACTGTACAGAGGGGTTACAATTACATGGGCAGGATAATGCGCACATGTCTTACCAAGCATTGCAGCCTCCTCCTTTGGTTTACCCTTCACATCCCTTCCCAGCCTCCCCCCTCCCCCCCAATCCCAATCCTTCTCCTTCCCCCCTTCCCCCCCCCCCCGCCCCACACCGACGTTGTAAAGCTCGTTTTGGACATGACAACTTGTACTTCTCATTGTTGCAACAGGTCCACCTGTATCCTTAAACAACTGGTTTTTCCCCATCTCCTCCACAAGTTATACTGACATCAAATATAGTGAAAGCAGGGGTTATACTGTGGAGGAGGGACATACAAAGCAACAAAGAGATAATCTTATAAATGCGTTAGAAACACATGCATGAAAGAAAAAAACATTAAAATACATATCTAAGAGTTCATTTTCCTGACATCACATTATCTGACGTTTTCCGCTTGACTCATACATATACTAGATATTGCAAATAAGGGAAACCATGGGACCTATGTTTCTTTGGGCCTGGCTTACTTCACTTAAAATAATTTTTTCCATGTCTCTCCATTTCCTAACAAATGGGGCAATGTCATTCTTTCTGATGGAGGCATAGAATTCCATTGTGTATATATACCACATCTTCTTGATCCATTCATCTACTGAAGGGCATCTGGGTTGGTTCCATATCTTAGCTATGGTAAATAATGCTGCAATAAACATTGTTGTGCTGGTAGCTTTAGTGTGGTCTTGTTTGTAAACATTTGGGTAAATGCCCAAAAGTGGGATTGCTGGGTCATAGGGGAGCTCTATGTGAAGTCTTTTCAGGAACCTCCATACTGCTTTCCAAAGTGGTTGAACAAGTTTACACTCCCACCAACAATGAAGTAAGTGAACCTCTGTTTTGTAAATCAAGTCCAACAGGCCCACAGATGATGCACTTGAGCCAAGGAGATCTTATTCCCACATAGCATTTAAATTTCATTCCCTTGGAGCAGGAAAGTCTGATGGCCTACCATGCGTGGATATCCAGCAAGACAACAAGGTGAGTTATTTTGTCTACAACAGAATAAGCAGACGCACTGGCAGCTCATTCTAACAAGAGCACCCTGTTTGCACCTTACAGACAGTGCAAACAGTAAATCCTCTTTTGCAACCCAGAACTCAATGTTGAGTATGAGATTTTTTTGGTACATGTAAGAAGGAATATAATTCCTACAATAGCTGGCAGTGTAGGCGATCATTAACCCACACAGATTGGCTTTGAGAATAAAGTGGAAGTAAAAGCTTTAAAAAGAAAAAAGCCGGGCACCGGTAGCTTGTAATCCTAGCTACTCAGGAGGCTGAGATCTGAGGATTGTGGTTCAAAGCCAGCCCAGGCAGGAAAGTCCATGAAACTCTTATCTCCAATAAACCATCAGATAACCGGAAGTGGCGCTGTAGCTGAAGTGGTAGCATGTTAGCCTTGAGCTGAAGAGCTGAGGGACAGTGCCCAGGCCCAGAGTTCAAGCCCCATGACCAACAAAAAAAAATTAAAAAACATGATTTCCATCTTTTGGGAGTTCAATGGACTGATTTCCAACCAACAACAAATACAAATGGGACCAGTAACCTAGACACTGCCCATAAATACAAGCATAACATGAGAACATTAATTAATTGACTTCTAACATTAGTTAGTTAATTAATTGCTAAAGCATGGGGTCCACAATGCAGTGAGAATTGAATGGAGATTCAGATGGATTAAAATTCTGAGGTTTGAGGGCTCTGTCCTACTTTTCCCTTTCACTACAAATTCAACTTGCACCCACATTTAATGGAAATGGATTCCATCTACTCTAATCCACGTCCAGCTCACAATGCCTGCCTTTAACCACCCATCAATGAGGGACAGTTCCCTTTGCTTTGCCTGCCTAAGGTTTAATACTGGGAGTTTTCACTTACAGACATTTTCCAAGACCTGGAAAATGTCACCTCACACGACTGGATGCATCACCCGGCTACTTTAGTCAATGAAAAGCCTGGAATCTCTCTCACACATGGTGGCAGACGAGGCACAAAGGCTGTTTTCTTCAACTTGGGCAGGTTTATGAGGCTGGAAGTGCCAAGAATTCAGGGATATAGCACTATCCCACTCATTCCTTATTAAGATGCTCCTTCATCACTGGAAAGTCTTTTCAGTCCAAATGACCTTAGTCCTCTTCCTGAACCATTAGTTTAAAAAAAAAAAAAAAAAAGAGCCCTCATTTCCCTCACCAAAACCATTAGCTTTCAAAGATCCCTTTTTATAAGTACTCTAAATGTTGAGTCCAGGCAATGGGGTGTTCTATTAGGTGAAAACATGAGAAATGGATTTAGAATTTTACCCGAAAAACAACGAACTAAATGCCTTTCATTGATAAGTAATGTGGCGGGAGGGGGGGGGGGGAGGGGGGGGGAGGAATTCTGGAAGAGTTCAAAGGTGGCAAACTTTCCTATTATTTTGTAGCTACAAAATAAAAAGCTGTCTCTTGTACAGGTCACACAAAGATGCTGAGAGCCAGGAAAGTGCTGGGGGCCAAGGCAATCGCAGGAAGGTCAGGCCCCGCCCTCATCCAGCCTTTTCTCCCTGACTAGGTTCTTCTATGGGGGCCTTCCTTTCTTAATCTTCTAGGTTGGTCTAGAGTGGAGGGTTTTCTAGTGTGATCCCATGAAATTCATAGGAAACAGACCGTTGAAGCATAGCTAGCCTAGAGAATCACCTGTAAAGCACTTTGATCATCCAGATTCCTACCTCCAAGATTCTGATACAGCAGGTCAAAGAGGGAGATGGATTCAGTCATTTAAATTACTATCAAGATCTCTGGCTGATTCTGACGCTAAGATTGCAGAGGTGTCTCCGAAGTTTTGAGGCAAAGGGGATGGGTGAGAGGGGCTGGCCTTCTCCATTACTGCGTCGATGGGACATCCCTTCTTCTGTGTAATGGCTGAGCTCCTCATCAAATCCAGCTTGATAAGAGACTCAGTACTTAGTGAAAAGGGCTGGAAAGCATCTACAAATAAGTGCCTGATGCTCTGTGCTATCCTAAGGCTGAGAATTCTAAGAACAGAGGATTCACTTGAATAGGTATAAACAGTTCTCCAACAGCCTCCACCCCATGCTCCCAATGAAAAATTTCTAAAGTGCATCAAGGAAGAGATACTCCAAGCCATTCACTGAGCAATTTGCCTCCCTTTAACAAAAGGAAAGAAAAAAGAACCAGGAGCCAGTGGCTCATGCCTATAATTCTAGCTACTCAGGAGGCTGAGATCTGAGGATTACAAGCCAGCCAGGTGGAAAAGTCCACACAAAAAAAAGCAGAAGTGATGCTGTAGATCAAGTGGTAAAGTACTAGCCTTGAACTAAAGGAGCTTAGGGATAGCACCTAGGCCCAGAGTTCAAGCTCCAGGACTGGCAATAAATAAATAGGGACTCCACTTTCTTAAAATAATTATATTTCAAGTAATTAATATAAAGACAATTCGCCCCACAGAGGTTAGAATGTGTTTGTACCTTTAACTATCACTAACTCACAATAGTGTGAAAATTTGTGAAATTTATGTAATCACTTAATCACAATAAAAAAATTGCTATAAAATAATAATATTATGGATCAAATTGTGCCCCTCAAAAAACATGTTGAAGTCCTAATTCTAAGTACCACAGCCAGATCTTATATATCTGAAAAGATAAGAAGAATCCCTACTAGAGAATGGCCAGCCTAATCTATTATAATGGGTGTCCTCAAACCAAGACATGATGATGACACAAAAACGCAATGTGATGAGGAGGCCAGGACTGGAGCTCTTCAGCATCAAGCCAAGAATTGCCTGTCACATAAGGAACGAGCATGCTCCTGCATGAAACAAGATTCCCTGACTGGCGCCTTGATTTCAATTTCCAGCCTCTCGAACTGTGAGAGAATTCATTTCTGCCTTTTCATTAATTTTTGCCCCGCGTGTGGTGCTTGGCGATGGCTGCATTTGGAAACGGAGGGGATTACTGTGTTTGCAAGTGCTGGAAAGGATTCTTGCAAAGGTTACTCTCCTCCCTTGATTTCCAGGGCTTGAGTGTGGAAGGCTATCTAAACCTGCCCACCTCTCACCTAACACCTTTCAAAAGCAACAAGATCTCTCTCGACACTGGGTCTCAGGGTGTCATTACCACATTCTTTAGGTCACGGCAGACGGTGTGGCCTCGCCCTTTCTGTCTCATCCTATCACAGAAGGAGGTCATTATCTGATTTCAAGCATGAAGTCTAGAGGACTTAAAAAAAATACATTTAGAAGGAATAAATGAGCTCCATGTAAAAGGATTCCAAAAGCTCATGTTTCTACAGGCATCAGAAGATATTGTACATTCTGAAATATGCTGTTTCCACAGGGGGCATAGAAGTATTTCCCATTCTTTTAAACTCTCTGAATATTGTAATAATTAAAATGTCCTTTCAAAAACAAACAAACAAACCCAGTCCGAAGGTACTTACAAACCACTGAGTTAAATAACCTAAAGTCAAATGTTTGAATAATAATTTCATCTTTGTGAAGGATTCAAAGAAGAACTGGATTTTACAATGAAAACGTGGTTTTATTCTGAAAGAGAAACTAAATAAGTAGGAATTCAAGTTTAGAAAAAGAGATTCTAGTCAAATCTGATACATACAGTGAAGTGTGGCAGTTTGACTTTTGCATATCAAAAATATTCACAATAAAACCAGGCATCAGTAGTTTAGGCCTATAATCCTATCTACTCAGGAGCCTGTAATCTGAAGATCATGGTTTGAAGCCAGCTTGCGCAGGAAAGTCTGTGAAACTTTGCTTCCAATGAACCACCCACAAAAACAAAAGTGGAGCTGTGGTTCAAGTGGTAGAGCACCAGGCCTTGAGCCCAAAGGCTAAAAGGACCATCTCTAAGCCCTGAGTTCACACCCTAATATCTGCACAAAAAAAGATAGATGGAGATATCTATATAGAGATATTCGTGATGTAACATACAGTCTTCAAGAACTTAATATTCTTTCTTAAATAGGTCATAAGCTGAAAAGTGGCAGGAATTCTAGTGTTCTTGTCATTTGGCTGTGAAGGAGCTTGTTGATTGGTTGATAAATCTCTGTGAGACAATTCCCTAAGAGAGACATTCCCTCCTTCCTTCCTCCATCCACCCTGCTATTCTGAATTTCCTAGTTCCATTTGCTGAAGAATGCAGACCTGAGGTCTTGGCTGCAATTTGCCCCAGAAACAAGCCCTTGATAGGGCAACCCAAACTATCAGCAATGTAAGTTGGAAATGATTGTTTCTTTGACAAAGTCCATTTTAATGAACAGTCTCTTAAGTAACAACTGGCATTAGTGTGCCTAAATTTTTATTCAAATTTCGTTTTCATACAACTTTTAGAACCTTAGTTAATACACAAATTAAATTGAGAAGATTTGTGCTATCACATAAAAAAGTGGGTGCCAAGACCCACTTTTCCTTATAGAAGCAGGTGGATGAGATACAAACTTTAACGTAAGAATCCTTTATACAATTGTGTCTCGTAATGGAGCACACCGGAAGTGGAAGAAATGGATAATTGCTTACGGAAAACAACAACATTGACAGAATATCTGAAGTTTTGAAGACTGCCTGAGAGCCTGCCCTGTGTTCGCTTCTCTCCTGCTTTCTGTTTCCTGCAAGATGAATTTCAGTCTGGAGCAGAGCACCAGGCCCAAAGTAAGGTTTATCACTTATGACTCAGAATGATCCAGAAGTTTGGGGAGATAAATACACTCATTCTGTCTTAATCACTACACAATGACAAATATGAACATTATTTACATTTTTATGTCTTAGCTACAAAACTTATTAAATTATTAAGGAGTTAGAAAGTTCCTCATCTCAGCAAAATGTACTTCAAAAATTTAATACAACTCTCCAGGAGATCTAGACATGGGTCTGTGCACTACAATTCTTTAAATATTTAAATTTATCAATATTTTCCAGCCAGTTACCCTCATCTTTTTCATCCTAAACATAGACGCATTAAAATAAACCTTAAGCATATTACCTTACATGTACTGCTGATTGCTAAAAGATAGGTATGCTATTGTCATTTTGGTTGCAAGCAACAGAAATAAATTCTGATAAAACAAAGAAAGTGCTAATTTATTAAAGTCAAAGCATTGCTGAATGAGGAAGCCTCAACAAGAGATAT